TATGAAGTTTGTAAAAAATTGTGTCCTAGAATGGAAAGTTCATGCAAATTACAATTTTTTTTCAAAGGTCAAAACATAGAACTGTGCAAAATATTTTCAACATTTATATGCCTCGAACATTTAAAAGTTTAAACCTATCCTAAAATTATGTACAACCTATGCCTTCACTCTGTGTTTTCCTCAGAAATCAATTTTGCCGATATCCATATGTATTTATACTGGTAAAATTTCCAAGTTGTGTCTCTATGAGAAGAAACATAGAGATTATAAGTGCAAACCAGTAAGTAAACAAAACAAAATATCTATGAATTTATATATTTATCCCCAACAGAGGCGTCATTTGTGAAACAGCTGTATTTACAAAGTGCAACATACATGAAAATCGCAAGCACACAAAAAAACAAATCTGATATTTCTTATTTACGTATCTAAAGTTGCTTCATTGTTAATGTAGACCCGGATTTTCATTTTACCATTTAAATGAATGTATAGTACGTCAACCTTAAATAGCAAACATTTAAGAGACATGTGTAAACAAATGTCCGTCCGAAGTTTGTGTGTATTTGCGTCCATTCGTGTTTCGTTTTGAAAATAAAAAAAAACGAATGCTTTTGTTTTTTTGTTTTTTTTTTTTTTTAAATCTATAAGCATCGAACTAAAAAACATATTTCGAAATCACAAAACAGTAGACAAATAACAACATTTTGATTCATTTTTCGATTCAGTAATAGCCATTTGAAAAGTGGGGGATGAAGTCACTTGTCATTAATTGCGAGGTTGAATCTGAAAATTAAGATAGTTGATATGTTGTCTCAAAATGCTGCATAGATAAATCAACCTAAAATAATTATTGGTTTTGATTTATGTGATGTTGAGGGAATAGGAAGCCTGACTTGGTAATTAAGATAAGGTACATTTATCACAGAGAGATTTTCAAATTATCTTATGTTCATCTTAATAAATAATGACATCTACAAATTCTAGTATGAAAAAGACTCATCATAGATACCAGGATTAAAATGTTGTACGTCAGTAGCGCGTTTCGTCTACAAAAGACTCATAAGTGACTCTTGAATCAGAACAGGTAAAAAGGCCAATAAAGTAAGAAGATGAAAAGCATTGATGACCGAAAATTACAAAAGATGTTGCCAAAAACAGCTAAGGAAAATAGTATTCACTAAATTCAAAAAGGGAGAAGTCCATAAAACCTTACAAAATAAAAACTCGACTATAGTAATCAACGGAACGAAAGGAAAGCAACTGTAATATGATTTAGAAAATAGAATCTAAAGAATACATTAAAATCTATGAAATTGAAAATGGTGGTAATATACTTTTTTTTTGTTACTGAATCGCATTCATACAGCAAGTTATTACTTAAAGAAGACTATTCAGTTATTTTAATCAGTGAAAGAAACCCATAATGAATAACAGATCAATGAATTATATTTGACTTGAAAGGACACGATAAACATAGACTTTAATATTCCATTCAATATAGGCGCAAAAATTATCAACTTTTGTAACGACAAACATGAAAGGATAGGAATGGCCGACAAACGCCAAAAACCGTCAATATTACAGGTATATTCAGGACAATAATGTGGTGTATGTTATGCAAATTACCTCATCAAGGTAACACAGTTATATCGACAAGTTAGAATTATTTAACAACTCTATTCGACGCAATAGTGGTCACGGTCATCGAAAATGTAAACCAAGTACAGTTTAAATTTTGTACGCCGTGTCCTAAGTTGTTTTTGTTTTATCGTGAGTACAACAAATCTTAAAAATTCAACATATTCTTACTTTACTTTCTTTAATCAAAGCACAACGATAAAGCTCGTTGTTATATAGATATGGCCTCTTACTGTATGTTTGATCTAAAATTATAATCTCAAGGTACGGCACTTAGTGGGAATGTTCACTTTATTTGAAATCGTTAGATCCAATATTAGCGAATGTAAAAATATTTTTCAGGTATCCGTGATTTGTTATGTATTTTTCGATTTTCTACTCCAAAATTGCAATAAATACGAAAATATGTTTGATTTGAGCTTGGTACTTGATGGTAATGTTGACTTAATATGAAATCCTTAAATCAAACATAACAGAAATTAAAAATATTTTCCAGATATTCATGACTTTTAATGATTTTTTCTTTTTTCTACCCAAAAAAAAAAAATGCAATAGAATACTTATATAAGTATGATTTGAGCCTCTTACCAAGGGCAGGCTAGTTGATGGTAATGTTGACTTAATATATAATCAATAGATCCAATATAAGAGAAATTAAAAATATTTTCAAGAAATCGGTGGTTTTTGTTGATTTTTTTCATTTATTTAGGTTAATTACATGTGTTTTTGTATCACAGAATCAGGAACAACAATGATTTTACTATGGAATCAGTTTTTAGGATAGGGTAAATTTTACTAGTTAGTAAACCTATTTCCTGTCATTAACATTATAACCTACAGGAAATGTCCCGTACTTAATCCTATTGATTTTTAATAACCAATCAACCATATTGTCAAGGAAATTAACAACTTGCAGTTATTTTTATGAACAATTTTGATCCATTTAAACAATTAAATTCTCACCAATATTCTAAGGATTTTATTATTCATTTAATCATAATACTTTTATATTCTATTTTAAAAACACATTTTGTGTTACCATGTTTATCGCAGTGCATCATTAGACTAAAATTGCACAACATAACAAAAAATCAACGTACATGTACGTATCGTCACACATTTATCGGGATTATTCTTCGTTATTCTTTCTGTGACCCACGAAACCCATGAAAATTGGTATACCACGAGTAAAAATCAATCTACAGTAACTTCACACCCGAGCTGATAACCTATATCAGCATATGTGATGTCACGTGATCGGGCTGTTATGGATTTATCAGCCTGGGTACGTTCTTACGTCGGCAGTATATGATGAACAGATTAATACATGTCCTTTTTTATATCAGGCCGGATGTAGTCCGTTGCCGTTTCGCAACCAAATTTGTATTGAAAAAATGTAAGAATTTGCTTTCAAGTCAAATGAGTAAATATTGTTCATGTTTTTGCATTCACAAAATCTATAAAATCTATAACTCATGCTGAGAGGAAAAGATCTATATACTATTTATTCAATGAACAAACAAATAGCATGTTCATTACATGTAATTATTTGTCATGGGTATGCTTCGACATTGTTATCAAATCAATTACAAAATGTTACTGTACTTTAATTTGTATATATGCTATGCAATCCAATACACAAAAAGGTTGTAAGCACCTGCTCTTCCTTTGTAGTGATACTGTGGATAAATAGATGAGATAACGTCATAATGATCAAACTGACGTCAAATTACACAAAGTTTAAATTCAAAATAAGCTGGTATCTGTTTAAAGTTTTGACAATGTTTTATTTAGGGATTAGTTAAAAAAAAATGTTATTCATCAATCGATTCGTTGAGTCAGGTAGGTTTTTTTTTGCTGGTATCGTTACATAGTTTGTGATTTATTTAAATAAACTGTTTGTTGGGACAAGAGAACAGCTAGTTGCATTTTTTTGTCGGGCATTTTATACGGAATGTTTGTTGTTTCGCTTATGTTTTTATTTGGTGATAGGTAGAAAGGTATTAATAGTATTTTTTTTAAATCTTAATCACGCATTTCGTATATCCTTTGATTTTACCTACTGCTGTATTAGAATTTACATCAAAAATAAGTCTTGTCGTCTTTTTTTTTTGGCATCATGGTGGACTTTTCCTGAGTAGATTTTGTTTATAACACCACAAGAACACAACACATAAAGAGTGCACCCGAGACCGCATTTTTTTCTTCAGTTACGCTTATAAACTGTAGCGGCAGTCCACAATCTATACAACCTGGTTTTAGCTCTTTGTTAATGTCATAGGGTTTGCAAAACACGACTCTCTCCCAAAATCCAAATGCATTTGTCTAACAGTTTTGATTCATACCTTTCCACTTCCAGCAAATCGTCCGTTTCGGGTACTATTTCCATTTTTATTCTTACATCAAAACGTTGCTTGATTTCTCCTGCTTTTATGAAACGACCCTTTGAGAGGAGAGGGCTGCCATTTTAAAATCGGCGACCTTTACGACGAACTCGAAGAAGGTGACACCATAATACGGTTACGACACTATAGCGGCGCCGAGAGCAATGCGTATAAACAATAGTTTGAGTTTGAGCATTCCCAATGAAGTTAAATCCAGAAAAGAGCTTTGGACGGTAGCAATTAAACAAAGTTTATATACCATGACGGTCTGTAAGAGACACATTATCAAACTATTTTCCAACAATTACCAATCCTACTCAATATGCTAGTAGCAGTCAGAGTTCTTCATTCATACTACCTTCCCACTTGCATTGTTTGCATACGTCGACTTATTGTTCATGTTTTCATCCTGTACATGCATGCATTAAAATATTTCTATATATATGACTATTGAAAACATCTTATTTGAACAACCACGAGAAAGTTGTTTGATATTACTTCGATTAACAGGTACATATATTCACATCCATACATCTTTTTTGGTACAATTTTTAGTACAAAAATATAAAAATCTCGATACAGATTGAACATTAATTTTATTTTTTTATTATGGTTACTGAATGCCAACCGGAAAATATTAAATAAGTATCATGTCATAGCTACAACAAATATTCATGCAATTATCAAATGTCTGTCTTTGTACGAAAGTTACATGATTTTTGATTTTTTAGCTAGATGGATAATGGTCCAAAGCAAGACGATAATGCTCCTGACACAGCACATGATTATTGAACCAAGAATGTGCTGCGTTATTATCTGTGAAACAGCAAATACCAGTTTTAAAGTCATAAATGTGTTCTGACATCGGATAAAATCTAAAACCACCTGCGCTCAGAAGAGAGCATGCTTCGAAAAAACCATTAAAGTGACGAATGCGGAATCATAATATATTTTAAAAATCAAACATAATTACACAACGTACTTGACACCTTTATTGGCAATGGAAAGGTATAACATGTATAAGAAAGTAAATTGGTCTGAATAGTCTGACTGGTAATATTTGAGATGTCTCTTTATCTTTACTCTTATATTTGTATATTTGAAACAAAAAATTGCTTCCTAATAAAAAGATGTATTTGATTAGATAATATCAATAGATTTATATATTATATATTGTTATTATTTGTGTATATTATGTTGCAAATTGGAAGTTATAAATAATAAAAACTAATAAAAACAAAAAAAAAACAAAAATTGAGATGTCTGCTTGTGGTGTTTAAAAGTCTCTCTCACATTGTTTTTTTATTCGTAACTGTATGTTTTGAATTGTTAACATGTAGTTCAAGGTCCAACATCACTGATCTACATGTAAAATTATACCTTTTCACGCGATCCTGTCACACAAAATGTCCGCATATAACCTATATTAAATATATTTTGTTCGATAGAAGGTTTATCCTTATCCAGCTTTATTACGACGAGATATTTTTTCATACAATTTTCAGCATTCCTGGCGAAAAGTTCTATCTAAAAGAGAAAATACGATAGGATTGGATACGTTGTTGATAAAATATCCGCGAACGAGGATATCGGATACTGGTTTAATACTGTTTTGATACATCTTAGGATTCAACATTTGGACCATTTTCGTGAAAACATACAACAAATTTCCTATGTAAGAAACGGCGGTAGCTATCATGAGGCTTATAGTTAGTCGAATAGCATTTCGAAGATTGCGTGACGAACTAGTAGACTTTCTATTTGCTCTGTCACGAATTTCAGTTTGCACTGGATTCACTTTTACCTCTCCATTTTGAATAGTTGAGATTACTTGGGTGGTTTCCGATCTAGTATCCATAGTTGAATTGCCAGACGGAATTGGTTTCTTTCCTAATGATTTCCTCCATTCTTTTCGAGTATTAATTTTACACAATATTATTCCATATGAAACGATGCACAAGACAACGCAAACTAAACCTATAAGTAATGTTATACTGTAATAAACTCCTGTATGACGTATATTTTGATACTTTAGGAGAAGCCTGCAATCCTTGCAGGTTAGGCCAAAAAGATTTGTTTCTTTTTCGTTCAGACCATAAAATATTAATACTGGAATTGACAATATCATGGATAATCCAACCAGAACAGCAGATATGACATTTGACCTTTTTAAATTAGCAATTAATATTGGCAAGTTCTTGACAATTGTCTTATATCTTTCAATAGAAATTGTAGTCAATAATATGCTGGAGGCACCTGTAACAATATGATTAAGAAATTGAAAGAATTTGCAAGCACCGTCAGATGAAAATGTGTAGTGGTATCGAATATCAAAAATCTCAAAAGGCATACAAAACAAACATGCTGTAAGATCGATAAAGGCAAGCCAAATGATAAAAACTCGAACGGAATATTTTGCCATGATCGGTAATAACAGATATACTAATATCGTGTGTATATTGCCAACAGTTCCTACGACCGATAGAAATATGAGGAATATTGTAGCTGGGATGTCGCTGTCCAGAAATTCTTGGTATTCTATTTCGCTCAAACTTGTATTCGTTCCTTTTGTAAAATTGCATGCCATTCTGAAAAACAAAAAACGGAAATGTTATTCCAATGGTTCATTTTTTTTATTGCAACACCATTGATGAATAAATGCACTTTTTATAGCAAACTGTTAATGTATTTCATCTAACTATGTTTTAGTCATTTATAGATAAAACAAAACCACTGGGATTGAAAATCTTTGCAAAGCAGACTGAGAATTACAACAAACAAATTATAGATTAGGATTAAAGAAAAAACACACGAAGATAAAGAAAATTAAAAGAATGCATACTGCGAATTAAAATTACAAACTGAATTTAGAAATGAAAACAAACAATGATGATTAAATATTACACACTGAGATTTGTGCGCATATATCACAATTACATACATCTGGTATGTTTCGCTACGCATCTGACTTCAACGATGAATACCAAAAGTTACCTTAAAGTAACTATTGTTGAAAATTCCGAGACAAAAAATCGGATCATAGGTGACCATTTGTACCCAGACTTTACCCAAGCTAATCACTAATTTACTGTCCATAATTGATCAATCCCCTGCATAAATAATCGGTCGGTTTTAAAGAAATTCGAGTTTTAAAATGCATTTTTTTTTCAAATAACGGATAAAAGTTATGACGAGAACGGCATGCCATACAGTTTTATATTTGTCTGATAGAAAATGACTTTTTAAAGTAGCTTTGCATGTTCAAATGTTTTACATGTCTGCGTTTATGGTCGTAATTGTTCTACTTTAAACCTCTCAATAAGATCAAATGTGTTTATGGTTAATGTATTCGATTCACATATTTCTTACCAGCCTTATACGTCGGGGGTGAATCATTTACGCAAATAGCCAACGCAATGATTGCTACTTTTATAATATATTTACTGGAAAAAAAACTAAATTACGCCTATTTCAGTGAGGTTTAGAAATTTCATAAATTCAAATGTCTCACTCTTGATGTCAATCAATATCACAGTTTGATTACATACATGTTTAATGCAGTCGTAACCTAACTTTTTAAAGCTTATTAAAAACGGCATGAAATGATAATTCAGATTTAGAAAAAATAAATGTCATTAGGAGGGAATAAAAATACTTTGCCTTGATTTATTATTATAAATCTACATGTGATTGACACCAACGGTTGAATATACCTCATCACCATATTTCTGCAATACATCAAACACACCGAGGTGAACATCTACATAAGACGAATGTGCGCTTCTTGCTCCATTTGTACCTACCGTCGTCTTAATCATTTTTATTCAGAAAGTTGCGTACGACGAAATCAAAATATTAAATTGAATTTATAATCAATTCAGATCTAACATCTCATATCCTGATATCATGTTTGTTTACTGCACATGAAGAAAAGAATATTATCATTATTTATTCACTCATTTATTAAACATAAAAAAACACGTTTTGATTACTGTTTAATTATTTGTAATGTATAATAAAGGAATAAGACATCTTATCTAGCATTACATACATACCTGAATAGATCAATTTAAGTCTTTTTTCTGTGTGTTTATATCTGTATATTCTTCTGCATATGAAAATAGTTTCACCTTATTTTTTTCTAAATTGGAAGAAAACTGTTATATCAATCATATTTCTATACGCCTTTTAGATGGTTTTTCCAATGAAAATAAGTATTTTTACACAACGTTAACTGGCAAACTGTTATCTGATAAACCGGATACCACGTGGGCTGACTAATTCACGAAAACATACAACACAATGATTGCCATTTTTATCATATATTTACTAGAAAAATAACCAATTAGAAATCTTGTAACTCCCCATATCCAACCTTTGATGTCAAAAACCATCACAACTTAATCACATACATTTTTAATGCATTTGTATTTTCTAAAATCTAATTATATAACATTTTAGCTTATTAAAACTTTAATGAAACGATAATCTAAAATTGGAAAAATAATAAAATAAATTTCTATTTCGAGGGCGAAGAAATAAGTTTACTAGCATTGGGTCTATACAACTGATGTTTGACTGATAGTCCCCGAGTGTACCGTCAGCTCGAGGGTGAATCGATACAACTGCTGGTTGATTGTTAATCCCTGAGTGTATCCTTAGTTCATAAGTGGAACGAAAAAACTGCTGGTAGACTATAAAAGGGATGATTGTTCTTTCCCTATTTTTAATTTTCCTTTTTTGGACGGTGGTGATCCTTTGATCCCTTACGGTGTTCATATATCCCAACTCGTTCGCTATGCTCGTGTCTGTAGTGACGTTTATGGATTTCAATGAATGTAATCTATGTATTACTAGTAAATTATTAAGTCAGGGATTATATTACCACAAATTTCTTAAAACTTTTACTAAATTTATTCATAGATACAACTATTAGGTTTTGCCAGCTTGGTTGCACCTGCAGAAAAGTTATTTCAAACACAATAGCACATCCTAAATATTTCGGTGATGTTGTAAACCGAGCCCGGAAATTTAGATTCGAGGTAAACTTATCAATCCTTTAAATATTCTAAAAGGTTACATATTCAACACTGTAATTAAATCTTTGAATATTGTTTTATTGGTATAAATATTGTTGTTATCAGTAAATTAATACCATACTAAATTAATAAATATTACACACATGTACTTTCACGGTGCTACAATCTGTCGATACCTTTTTTTTTGGCATTGCACAAGGTCATGTTTTTCTCTGACTGTTAATGACGTCTTTACACTAAATCCATGGTGTACTGATTGATATTTTAGTCTTAGATTCATGTTTTTTAATATTTTTTGTTTTTAGGGATGAGGGATGAATATATACCCTGTCACGTCCTGTCTATGATTTTTTGTTTTATGTTTTTCTTTGTACCGATCTGATGAGCTAAGCCTTTTTCAACTGATTCTTATGGTTTGTTCTTATGTTGTGCTGTTACACCACTGACACAGGTTATGGGGGAGGGTTGAGCGCTAACAAACATGCTTAACCCCACCACGTTCTTTATATGCCTGTCCCGATTCAGGAGCCTATAGTTCTGTAGTTGTCGTTGGTTCATGTCTGTCATATTTGTTATTCGTAAATTGTTTTGTTATGAATGAGCCGTTAGTTTTCTTGTTTCATATTTTTCATATCGGGGCCTTTAATAACCGGCTATACGGTATAGGTTTTATCTCATTGTTGAAGGCCGTACGGTTGCCTATAATTGCTTACATTCATTTCATTTGAACTTTGGTAGATAGTTGACTCATTGACAATCATACCACATCTCCTTATTTTTGTATCATCACCTCAGTAGTGGATCGACACAACTGCTGATTGACTGTTGTTCCTTTAGTGTAGCAATAGCTTAATAGTCAGTGCTTCATGATTTATAACATTTTTTTTTTAAATTTCGCGTTGGTAAATTTAAAAAGTATTAGGAATTAAAGGTGCCAACTCCTACATTTCAGGTCGATCTGGAATGAATTTGGCTTTTCCTATTAAGGTGGTACCAAAGACCCTGATTAAGATTAATTTGGCTCGTTTAATTTTCATAAAATTTTGACAAAATGTTTACTTTGACCCTTTGACAAAAATATAAAAATTTCTAAAAATTTGAACCAACCACTTTATCAGAAAAATTTCATTGGTTATATAACAGTTTGACAAACACTAATTTTGATCATAGAGAAGCTTAATATTTCCTTAACAATACAACTTAATTAAAAACGTTTAGCTGATTTTTACAGAGTTATCTCCCTGTAGTGTTAGGGACCACATTAAGTTCCTTTTGATTATATAGCTCCTAAAGTTTCCAAATATTTATTTGTTTTTCAAATATTTGGGTTTGAGTGTTCCTGATGAAGCTAGTTCTAGGAAAGAGCTTCGGACGCACGAAATTAAAATAAGAGTCTTATTTTCAGACAAGATACGATGACAGTCTGTAAAACTATTTCCCAACAAATACCAATCCTACCCTATATGCTAGCGGTAGCCAGATTTCTCCATTTATACCCCCAATCCACTTGCATAACTTGCATAAGTCGACTGATTGTTCATGTTTTCGTCCTGTATATGACTTATTAGAATATTTCTCCCTTGACATTCATCATGACTATTGCAAACATCTTATTTGAATTATCAAAGATGTTTGGCATTACTAAATTGACTGGTACCTATATTCACATCCATACATCTGTTGGTACATTTTTTAATACACAAATATTTAAATCTCAATATAGATTTATATTTTTAATATGGGTACTGAATGCCAACAGGAAAATATGAAATAAGTATCATGTACAAAGTTGTTATTTATGATCATGCAATTATCAAATATCTGGCTTGTTACGAGCGTGACATGATGACTCGATTTTTTTTATGTTCTAGCTCAGTGGATAATGGTCCAAAGCAAGAGGATAATGCTCCTGAAACAGCACATGATTCTTAAACCAAGAATGTGCTACGTTCTTAGCTGTGAAACAGCAAATACTAGTTTTAAAGTCTTAAATTAGTTCTGGCATCGGATCAAATCTAAGATCATCTGCGCTCAGAAGCGAGAACACTTCCTAAAAACTATTAAAGTGGTGAATGTGGAATGATAGTATATTTCAAATACCAGACATGATTACACAACTTTAATATTTAGATGTATTTGAGATAACACAGTCAGTGGTACTTGGAAACACGATATGATTGATAAATCGACCGAAAGTTATTGTTAAAATGATTTCCTTGTAAAGGATTGTTCTTACAAATTTAAGTGCGTTGATTTTAACGATTTTCCCCACATTTTTAAGTGTATTTATTGTGCAGGGCAATAGAATAAAAAAAAAGTCCAGTTCCATATATTCCGTAACTACATGAAAATCTCAAGCACAGCAAAATATTCTGATATTTCGTATTAACGTATCTATTGTTGCTTCGTTGTTTATGTACATGTTGACCCGGATTTTAATTTAACCAATTAAATCTATGTTGTTTTGAAAATCAAAAACGAATGCTTTTTTTTTTGGCAATCTTCAATCATAGAACGAAAAAATGAAACAGAAGACGAATAACAACATTATGATTCATTTTCTTTTTCGATTCATTAAAATCCTTTTGAAAAGTGGGAAATGTAGTCATTTGTCATTAATTGCGGGGTTGTATCAGGAAATTGAGATAGTTTAAATGTTGTGTCACTTTCCTGCATAGATAAATCTACCTAAAATAATTGTTGGTTTTGAAAGATTTCATGTTGACGGAATAGAAAGCCTGACTTGTAAATTAAGATAAGGTGCATTAATCATAAAAAGATTTTCAAATTATTTTATATTCACGTTTAATACTATAAATAATGGAATCTACAAATTCTAGTATGAACTATAGACACATAGTAGGTACCAGAATTAAAATGTTGTACGTCAGACGCGCGTTTCGTCTACAAAAGACTCATCAGTGACGCACGAATCAAAAAAAGTTAAAAATGCCAAATAAACCACGTAGTTATAGAGCATTTGGGACCCAAAATTAGGTTTTACAAAACAGCTAAAGAAAATAGTGTTCACTCAAATAGTAAATTCAAAAAGGGAGATGTCCATAAAACCTGACAAATTCAAACGCTCGACTATATCATCCAACGGAACGAAAGGAAAACGACTGTGATATGATTTGGGAAAAAAATATAAAGAACATATTAAAATATATGAAATTGAAAATGTTGGATACATACTTTTTTTACTGAATCGCATTCATACAGGAAGTCATTATTTAAAGAAAGATATTCCATTATTTAAATTAATGAAGGAAATCCATAATGAATACCAGATCAAAGAATTATATTTGACTCAAAAGGACACGATGAACAACGACTTTAATAATCCATTCAATAAAGGCGCAAGATCTATCAACTTTTGAAAGGGTAAATATGTGATGATAAGAATGATCCACAAACAAGAATTGTCTAATAATCAATCTGTTACCTAAAGGGTAGCGAAAAACGTCTGCAACGCGAGGACGTTACGATTATTTCGACGTTTTGTTGTATTTTTTCATATAGAACACCACTTTGAATGATGTGTACCGTAAAAACCGAAGTCGGTGACCCTATCATTATTTTATATCATTAAATCGGAAATCTATGTATCAACAACATATAGTTTTTTTGAAAATTCTATGTAGTAGAAATTGGAGTTTTGATGATTTTACGACAAATTTAAGAAAAATATTTGCTTGTTTATGTGCTTTCTATACAAATGTTCACTGATTTTGAAAGAATTCAATAAGTAATATTTCAGATAACAAAAGATATAATTACATTATTTTTTCGATTTTCGGTTACGAGACAAAGTTGTATCCAAATTTTAGCAAAATCTGTGACATAAGCTATCTACTGTTCCTTGACCTTAATCATATACTGTTTTTAAATGTTCTGTATCTATTAATAAGTAAGCATATGTACGATTTATCGATATATGTTCTTATGCATGATAGACTGAGTTTTTTTATTCTGGGTTGAGATTTTTTGCAATAAATTCTTATTTATGATGCACGCCGTTTCCCGAGGAAATTTTGTTTATAGTAGAAATCCAAATTAAAGAAACGCAGGATAATATGTGAATTGTGCCACTATTAGTTAAACTTCGTTTGGCCGCACAACTTTCCCTATGTTCCGAGTGTAACCAGTTTCTGAAAATTATTGGACTGTACAGAAGTAATCCAATATGGTTTTGAAAGCTTGTAAAAAATAA